GATCAAAAGTTCAAGAACCTGAATAGGAGACATAATCCAGATTCTTCTTGAAAACCTGATGAAATTTTGCTCTTAAGCTTTTCATCAAACGGACAGAAGTTTTGAGCTCCAAGAAAAGGGAGAAAACAGAAGTTGTAAGATTAGGTGTACACAACTTTGCATCTTTGAGAACTGCTGATATGAGTAAAGCAAACGATGCATGGAAAAGTTATCTTTACGTCTGTCGCTCATTGCTCAAACAGTTAACACTGAATTCAAAGTAAATAAAAGCTTCCTGATGGAAAAAATGTAAAATATTTTCTCTCATTTAGAACTTATTTCATTAAAACGTTCTTGTTTTTTAAAATGATAACGACTCTTACATTGACTATTATGTATAGGCTCGATACAATTTTCTGACTCGTCCAATAAAATTTAAAAAAAGCTTTTTAGCAATAAATTTTCATATTACGAGCATTCAATACACATTTTTCGTAATTTATTAGTCATTTGCCTTCAATTTATTACTTCCATATGCAATAGCTGGCTTTCTGCTTCACTTGCGCTGTATACTAACTTGAGAAATCCATTTTAAAAGATTTACATTGTAATACACGAATTCTTTGTTAGAAGACATTCAAAAAAGTTTGGCTGATAAAGATTTCTCGGGTAAAATAGCTTTTATTGTAATGCATCGATGGACTCTGTAAAGTTAGATAAAAGCTAATTCTTAAAACATGTTAAAGGAAAATGTTTTTTTTTTTTACTATTTTACGAGTTGAATATATTACTGCATTTCCGTACTATTAAAACCATTAACACGAAGCTTTGTAATTTTTGACTTTGAATTCTTAGAAGCTAATCAATCAGTTTTAGTTTTTAACAAAATAAATATTTTTTAAATTAAGTATTTTATGTATCGAAATAATAAGAAATATTTTATATTGCATATTGTTGCTGAATATCCGTCCCCCAAACGAAATGCTTGAAAATCAATTTTAGAGTGAAATAAATAAAATATACAGCCTTATTATTTAAAAACGTACATTGTTATCAACCATTTTACCGTTGAAAAAATAATAAATGTACGGATTACATAAGTTTAAGCAATTTGTCTTACTGAAATAAACAAAATGAGGCATATTTTGTTAAATAATTAAAATACAGTTTAGAGTATTATTACTTTTATTTCTATTAGTAATATTTCCCCCAAAAATACTGAGGCTAAATTGAGCTTAACAGGAATTTATTTTAATTATAAATAAAACTTATTATTACACATTCTCAAAATTTCTGACCATTTTTAAATGTCAGATTATATTAATATAAGTAAATCATATTTAAAATTATTTTAATATTAAAATAAATTTCTTTAATTTTAACATTCCTTTTTAAATTTTTTAACGCTTTCTTGTGACATAATATTTAATTAAAGTTTGCTCAAGATAGGGCTTTTGACAATAAGGATGTATGCATTTGTTTCTAAAGCAAATAAAAGAGAATCCCAGATGAGTAAGACATCCAAGTTTTGAATCAAAATCCAGTGTAACTTCATGAACCAAATCTTCTTATCCGCTTTTCTTTCATTTGAGACAAGATACATTCCAGCTCACTTTCGGTCTGCTCACTATTTCTTCATATTATTACTTAAGGCAATCATACTTTTTAATCTTTTCTATCTCTTTATTACTTAAAGTAGCGATGCCATCACAAAAAACATACTTTTCAACAAGAACTCGAATCTGAGACCTCTTGGTCAACACTGCTCTACCAGCTGAATTATGGAAGGCTATGACTACTTACCGCCCCTAAAATAAATTTCGTACATGAGTGCTTTTTTTTCTTAACTTAATGAAAAGACTGAGATAGAGAGAAAAAACAAATTAAATTTGCCTTTTTTTATTTAATGTTTTAAAATGTTTTAGTTATGAGAAGTAGGCTATAAGGTTATAGTTAATTTACGTGTCCTTGGCTACTAGAACTTTAAGGAAGTGTCTAGTCGCTATTCGCTGGTCTTCTTACACCTATAAAATATAAGTCCAAAGATGGTGTTGCGCCACTTATGGCAAGTAAATTACCTCAGTTAATACTTTGTTTGAAAAAGAGTAGCAACGCCTCGGTTTATCGTGAGACTGTTATTAGAACAGTAGTTTTTAAAAATTTTTGAAAAGAAATGAGTTTGTAATGAAGCGATTTGTTGTAAAATAATTGAAACAAAATGTTTATGTCTCTAAAGAAACTTCTTGTCTGTTAATTCAAGCGAGCCATCTCATTAATCTGATTTAATGAGTATCCTTAGTCTAAAGTAACCGACATTTTTGGTGCCCAACGTGGGGCTAACTACTGTTCTAATCATTCATTGAAAGAAAGATTTCAAAGAGTATTTGGGATTTTTGCGTTCATCAATTCCTAAAAAAACTGGACCAATTTAAACTTGGAGACATCGTCTTGATTGGTAGAGAGGATAAAAAACGAATTCACTGGTTATTAGCAAGGGTGATTGAACTCTTTCCTGGGACAGACGGGCGTACAAGACTAGTGAAACTGAAAACTTGTAAAGGAATTGAATAGGTCTTTACTCAGACCTATTCAAAGGCTGTACCCATTAGAAGTTACCGAACATTCGAATAATGTGAACATTAACTTGAAATAGACATTTTATATTTTGAATATTTCAGGTATTTTAGAAAGTTTACATTTTTATTTTCTTCATGTTTATATTTTGTTAAGTTTTCTCCCAAAGGTTCTAAAACTCAAGTGGGGGGGAATGTTGTGCCACTTATGGTAAGTAAATTAATTACCTCAGCTAATACTTTGAAAAAGTGTAGCAACGCCTCGGTTTATCGCGAGACTGTGATGGGAACTGTAGTTTTTAATAGTTAAGCGACTAATTGAACAAGAACACGTAGTCAACAAACATGCAGGAACATCCATTCTTCTAACAAGTTTACGAGAGAGATTTTGGATCATAAAGGGTCGGAAAACTATTCGCTCCATCATTAAAGACTGTGTCACCTGTAAAAGACGAAAAACGAAGAATCTTGAATTGCCATTTCCCCATTTGCCTCCAGATCGCACTACATTATCAGCTTTGTTTGAAGTGTGCGGTGTGGACTTGACCGGACATTTAATAACTAAGTCAAATGAAAAAGTTTGGATTGTCCTCTTCTCCCGTGCTGTATATAGGACTGTCCACTTAGAACTAATACCTTCTCTTAGTACAAATGCTTTCATTCAAGGATTGCGAAGATTTATCGCGAGAATAGGTAGAATATCCCTTCTATACTCAAAATGGAACTAATTTCACAGGCTTAAACTCCTCCTTAAAACAGCTTGATTGGACAAAACTTCAAAGAGAATTTGAAGTTATTCAAATCAAATGGAAGCCCACCATCTGCCCCATGGTGGGGAGGATTTTGGGAAAGACTAATCGGAATACTTAAAAGATCTCCTCAGAAAAACCTTAGGACGTTCATCTCTGACTTACGAAGAATTCTTGACTCTCGGGAGTGTGAATCAATTATAAACAATATATGTTTGACATACGTATCAGAAGAACCAGATTTAAGAATTTTGACACCATCTTCATTCCTTCAAGAGAAAGAAGGGTTAAAATACCCTTTTATTCACTCCAAGAAATACTAACAGACAGCCCCCTCGGGCCTTTCAGGCTCGATAACTAACCGATAAAGATAACTAACCGAGTTGGTCCGGGATTACACCTCTCCGAAGAATACTAACAGCCACGTTAGACTACAACCGTACGTGGTAAGACAGGCTTATGGCTGCGACGTAGCCCGAAGGCAGAACACGCTGTACTGAGAACTTCTGAGCTATTCTACGGAACTGGTTGAACTTTTCGTTAAATACTGGTTCTTTTTCTTTTACATAACGCGACACTAAAATTTCATTCTGGCAGGGTGTTGTTGCAGGTGGAAAACAAGAATTTAAAGGAAAGGAATTCAAAATTAAAAATAACTATTAGACTTCACACATAATCATAAGCGCACACATATTTTTTCCAGATTTTTTTACACTGTATTTTATTTATATGCAAAATACAGTGGACATTTTTTCCACTGTGTTTGCATACATGCAATATATTTCGCTACATTCTTAAAATTATAATAAAAAAAATCTACCGATTAAGGTGCGAAACATAAAAGAAAGAAAAGCATAGGAAAACACTTTTTCTTTTTTCATACTGCATAACAATCAAATGTTTAAGATACAAAGTGCAAGTACAAAGCTTTTCGTTTGATTATACCTAAAATGTTAAAGATTCCATTGCTCGAAAATGTTGATAAACTGAAATTTATAGCCGCAGAAATAAACTGTAGCACCTAGCTACAGTTTATTTCTGCGGCAATGATTTTCGACGATGTATGCAAAACTGTATTTTTTATTTTCTTCATTTTTAGTAACATTGATTAAACTGGTTTATTCTTGGAAGTTCTTGGAAATTCATATTATATTCATTGTAAATTTTCTTCTTAGACTTTTACAATGCATGATATCTTTCTATTAAAGCTGCATATTAATAATATGCAGCTTTAATAGAAAGAGATCATGTATTGTAATGTAATATTCTGTCTTCGAGTAAGAACTCAAAGGCTAAAATAGGAATGAGTTTTAAAAAACAATAAATTAAAGAAAAACAGTAAATATTAATACCATCCTAATAAACGCTTCTTAATATTAGAAACTACTTTAAGGAGTAATTCTTATATACAATAAAGAAATATATTCATGTAATTTAATTACAATTGAAACAAACATTGAAAGTTCAAATGATGTCCACTTCCTGTACAACATACATAAATCTCCTAAATCACACATCTAAGAGTTGTCACATACTTTACGATAATTTCATTTATAACAATTTCAAAGTAAAGACGTAAGACATGAAAGTAAATTTGACTGTTAAATATAGTCTGAATATTTAAAAAGAAAGTATATTTAGAGCAGGATGCTATGAAACGCTTCCTATCATCTAGGAAGTTTAAACAAGTAGTACTTACCTGTTAATCAGTATTCCTCGTCACCACACACTTAGTCGAGAATCCACAGGAAGAAGGAATGATAGTAAAGCCAATCAGTTGTTCAGCGGAATCATTAATGAACCGTAATCCAAGATAGTACTCCTTGACCTTAAGGCACCGAAGACAATTTGAAGATGTCTACCGCCTTATCAGGCAGTGATTCGTGCAAAAAAATGGATGAGAATGCAGCTGGGTAGATGCACTTCTTTCTGAAAGGAAAAAGCAGGAAATGTTCACTTATCGGGCTTCGCAAGAGTTTGCTGTTTTCACTACCCGGATTAAATCTTTTCTTATCACGTGATACACATCTCAAAATGGCAGATAATAAAGTGAATACGAAATTGGATAGAAAGAATTTTTCTTTACAAAAAATGTTATCGTTTAAAATTTTGTATTTTCTTTTCGGTAACTAAGTGCAATGCAGATGGGCACATACACGCATATTCATGATCCCACGCAACATGCCTCTCTCACGCGCACAGACGCAACACATCTATAAAGTTTTAGGACTAATTTTACTGCATAATCGAATTTCAAGGGGAAAAAAACCTTGATTACTGTTTAGATTGTTACGTACATTTCTTCCAATGCCTTGCATCTCTTGGCACATTTACATATCACTTTCGGATCTTTCGCGGAAGTCTGTCTCCGAAATATTGTTTAGTTCTTTTGTTACGCTTTTTCTTAATTTCAGGAGTGCTCTGAAAATCGTATAAGAAAGAATTTCCTGAACACTGGTAGTGTGTGTTCCAACCTGTGTTCGATTCCACGCGAGCGGGCTAGCTGCATGGGCGTTTTCGTGGTTTTTATCAAAAATGTGTAACGTACATACGAGACAGTTTCCATTGGAATGACCTCCCTCCCTTTAAGCAAATAGCCTAGTGGGCTTTGCGATAATCAACTAAACCAAAACAAACAAAGAATGAATTTCAGTTTAACCAAAAAAATAGGCATTATATCACAAATCTTGCGAACGAGGGGTATGATTAAAAGAGTTCCACTTTTTTTTTCCTTTTCAATTTTAACCATTGTTTAATTGTTAGACGGAAGCTTTACACCTCGCTGTTCAGCCTTCCGATTTTAATACGAAATTTCAGCTCTATAAAATGAAACAAACTATAAAAAATGGATTTAAATGTTCTTTCTGCTAGCACACAGTGTAACTATTTCAGTATCATCATAGTAGTTATCTGAGTCTCTGAAATTCTTCAAAAGTTTATTGCGAAAGTTCTGTAAATGCTCTGAGCTCATATGATCTTGGATTCTAGATGAAATATTGAACAGTTTTTATTGTTATATTTTCTCTGATGTTATTGGGTTGAATAGTCTTTAATGCTATAGTTTTACTAATGTCATACTAATCTCATTACTGAATTTTTGGACTCTTTAAAATCAGAAAATTGAATATATAAGCAAAAAGCAACAATAGTTCAAGATAAAGCAACGAGTATTGTTTTTCATATTTTATAGAACTTTTTATCAAAAATGAATCATTAATAACCTTGTAACTGTTTTAATATTTTAACGGCCATTAACGCATTTATTCATCATTAAAAAGCATTTTTCATCCTTTTACGCAAATAAGGTTATAAATCCTTTCTCCAATGCCTTATCAAAACAAACATTGAAATTTTTATTTAGTGGTCTCTCATTTCATCTTAAACTAATTTATAAAGATGCATGTAGGCTAGACATAAAAAGAAAAGGATATTACTTCTTTTGTTTGCTTTAACAGATCACTCATTACGAATCGGAAGACTGAAAAATGGAATCTTATTTCAAGCTGAGGCTTCTATAAAGCATTCAATAAAACAATATTTTAATAACAGTGACTTGGGTCTTCTAACATGATTACGGGCGAATCTTTGATTTGTAACGAATAAGAAGAAATTACGAAAGACGAATAAATATTTCGAATGAAACCCCAAAACTAACATTCTGCCTTTTTATAAATTCTAGCTAACAATCAGAAGACCCAGATGTTCTGTCTTCAAGTTTCATTCAAAAGCAATTTAGAATCATTAGAAGGACTAAAAATAGATTTTTAACCAACTAACTCACAGTTTTTTCAAGTTGATCGCACAAAACGAGCTCAACGAAGTATTGAAAAATGCGTTAAAAAGTAAGAACTAGGCTTTCTTTTTAAAGAGATATAGAATTTCTTTAACAAGCCTATTCTTTAGCAAGTATATTAGATACTTATGACATAAAAACAAACATAAAAATTAGAATGAAAAGATATAAAAATACTCTGTTAAACATAATACATCTATTAGGCATAACAATTCCAGGCATTATTTAATGAATTATGTAAACCGCATACTATCAACGACAGATATACCTTTTATGTTGATAGTAATCTTGCGTCAACATAGCTTTAAGTTATTCAAGAATTACCTTAACGCGTTAAGTGACAAGCTTGTTTCGATTTCCTTTCCGCTTAGCCCACGGCATCTCATTCTACCAAATGCTGGTGGCAGAAGATCAGTGTAGAATTTGATAGAACGTAGATCTGATAGACGAATATATTTGTTGTTAAGTTGTATATCGACATCGAATAAGTTGTATATCGCCGGGAGAAAAAAAAAAGAAAAGAAAAAAAAAAAAACGATGCGACTTTAATTGAAAGTCTACTTACTGTCAGTCACTGGTGATTTAAAAGGCGCTTAACAGTTACGTTATACTCGTAATGTGTAATATAATTCTAAATGTTACTTTAAGTTATTTCCGAAAACAGAAATTATATATAAAACAGACCCTTGAGTATCTAACCCTGATAATATAAATTATACATTAATTTTAATTATATCGGGTTTGCAAGTTATGGGTTAATTTTTTAATGTGAAATAAAACTCATTTTTTTAAATGAACTTTAGTCAGTCAAATATTTTCCATGTTTTTCGATGATCTTTTGCCATCTTTTTAGTAACTTCATGATTCCACGCTCACAGAAGGCTCTGTTTTCGGAATGATTTTCTGGTTTTAATCAGCAAAAAACCCAACCAAGTGGGATTTGGGATCGCTATTATTGAAATTTTTACCATTTAAGAAGTTTTTTTAAACTTCGAAATAAATTATAATCCGATGATGCAAGGTCGGGGCTATGCACGGAATGGGAGATCACTTCCAAATCAAGCTCCAATAATTTCGTACGTGTTCGTAAAGATGTATCGTGGTGGAACACGATTCTTTTGCGATTTGCCAGTCCTGGACTGTAACATCTGAGTTGATCGTTTAGTTACTTGGAAGCAGGTGAAAATACGCAACACCTTTATAATGCCAATATAAACCAATAGACATCATGATGTTTTTTTGGTGGAATTTAAAATTCCATATGATTTGTGTTGGTTCATCATGCTTGGACCACGATTTTTTTCGATTAATGTTATTGCATACGATCCATTTTTATCACCAGTGATAATCTGTTTCAAAAAGTTGTCAATTGCATTACTTTTGAAATGTGTATTGCAGATACTGGTTCATTAAGTTACGTGAACTGCTTTCAACTCATGCGGGACCAAAATATCTAGCTTCTTAACGACTCCAAGATGTCATATATGATTTTTACCGTTGTATGCGATACATTAAACCTTTTTGCAAACTCTCGCGCAGTTATATGATGATTCAATTCAACTGTGGCTTAAATTTTGTCATCATCAACTTCAGAAAGGCGGCCAGAACATTTGTCATCTCCAAGCAAAAAAATCTCCAGAACAAAATTTTTTAAGCCAGTTCTGATGCGTGAGTTCTGTTAATCAATAAACATCATAAACTTCACGTATCTCCTTGTGAGCCTCAGCCGCTTTCTTGCCTTTGCGAAAATAAAAAAGTAAAATATGTCCAAAATGTTTATTTTTGCAATCCATGTTAAAACTGACCTTAAATTAGCAGTTGCAAACAAAATTACACAGAAACTGCTTCTATTGCAACCTAAAAATGTCAGCAGCTAAATCGCAAAATAAAAAACTTCTAAGATTGACAGAAGGATAACAAAATGAATATAACATTATCTATTTATGTAAACCGAAATTACTTTCTTGCCAACCCAATGCATTATTAATTAAGTTATAGAGGATAACATAAATCGAAGTCAGGTCCCGACAACCTATGACCCGCAGGTCATCGAGTGGACCCATTTCATTTTTGTTCTAGTTTATTTGTAATTAATAAACATAAACTTCATCTGAGTCTAAAAAATGCCGAAATAATATCTATTCATCAGGTGTGCTCTCCTGTTCACCTGTCTACGGCGTTGCTTTATTCCTGCGATTTTGTGAAGTAAGGGAAAACGACATTGCTCTCACTACTGAAGCTGATCCTGAGTTGCTGTCGTCTCTTCTTGATGTTCACGATAAGTATGTTTTCTTTATTCTTTTCGCCATTAGGTTAAAAGTTAGGATTCATGCATATCATGGACAAGGAGGCGATTCGAAAACCGTATCAAATCTGTGTGTGATCACAGAAATCTGGAAGTTACCTGCGATAACTTAGAAAAACTTAAGCAACTTATGCTTTCTGAGTTTCATGCTTATCAAAATTCATTTAATCCAAAATAATGCGACTGAAGTTCACTTAGCCCACGTCAATGCTATGGAAAAGGATATACAAATCTTAGGATTATACATTAATAAAATGAAACAAAAAGAAACCCTAAATAATCCAACAGAGGAAACAAATCAATCTGATATTACTGCTAGTCAAAAATCTAGAATCAAAAAAAAAACCACAATAGATAAAGAAGGATACATAACCCCTAAAAAACTCATAAAAGAACTCTATCAAATTCCGAAATTGAAGAACCAGCTCAAAAAAATAAATTCGAGGAACTAAACCCTGAAGACAATATGGAAGCAGAGGAAGGTGAATTTATTATTACACCCAACAAAAAAGCAGGACACATTCCCCCTATAGTCTTAGCAGACTTCACGGGGGATTGGGATAAGATGAAAGAAGATTTTGAAGAGCAATTAAATATCAAAAAATATCGTGGAAACCTAAGTGGAGGTACACTGACCATAAGAGTTTATGACTCAGACCACTACCGCACAGTTACTGAATACCTAACTAAACTACTTATTCCTTTTCATACTTTTAAACTCAACAGTGAAAAGCCTATCAAGGCAATAATTAAAAAACTTCCAAAAACAGCTAATATGGAACTAATCAAAAACGAAATTGCCCAAGAAGGTATCCCAATTCAAAAAATTCGACAAGTAATTCACACTATTGAAGGAAAGAAAGTTCATCTTCCTGTTTTTATAGCAGAATGTACTAGAAATAAAGAAGGTAAAAGAATATATGATCTAAAGAAACTCAGAGGTCTGGATGTCTTCATCGAGCCTTTTAAAGCTCGCCCTGGACCCGTGCAGTGCCATAAGTGCCAAAGGTACGGGCACACACGGGACAAATGTCACTATAAACCTCGC